GACATGACTCTAGCAATAAATAGCATATTGAACGCCTGCCGCCCCGCTCTCATCCGCTCCAAATCGTATACGATTGTCACACCCGCCACAGGAACAAGCTCACAAGCTCACAAGCTCATCCGTGGCACATGGCAGCGTTACACTCTTCGTCGTCGTATGCATGGCATGGCATTCCTGCTCTTCTATCCTCGATGCCGCGGTCTGGTGCATGTCACCAGCATCCTGGCGAGCTTGGCACCGTCTCTGTCTATCGATTACGCCGTGTTCCCCTTCACAGCACCACCACGTTCAACCTCGTATGGCGTAATCTCGTGAGCAGCACAGGAGGAATCAACAAGCCTAAGGCACCGCCACACGTTATGCTCTCGGTTGGGATGACGAAGCTCTTGGTCGGAGGACGGCCGCCAGGCTCAAGTGATGCCCTGTGCCTGTATCAGGTTTACCTAGTGATCCATGATTGAGCTCCATGCTCGCTGCCATCGTCGCCCAATAACCACGGCCCGACGACGCCCCATCCGCCATGCAGCTGCCTGCCATCGCTAGTTTTGGGCTGTCATTGTGCAATAAGTCGATCATGCATCAGGATCTGCCACTGTTCTTCGGGGATCGCTAGACAACTGGTCCAACGTGGGTCTCGGTGTAGCACCCATCACATGGGCAGTCAATTACCGGAATCAGGATCTAAGCGGACAATATGGAAAGGAATTCCCTACACCAAATCAGGCGAATATGAAGTTCATCTTGAACTTAGTGGTGTACCTGACTTTGATGGTAAAAGAGGAGGCTCTGGAGAGGAAGATGCCGTGACAGCTCGCTCGGTACGTCTCTCGGGGCACTATTCCATTTATGGCAGGCGGTCAGTTTTCAGTCCGCACTATGCCGTTTAGGGACAGATAGGTCCGATAATTCGGCGAAGCTCTTATCGCGACTAAAATTTCCAAAAACCTCACCTCAGTTCTCCTGGCCTGAGGTAGGACAGGGCATTTTGAGGCATTGCGAGCCACCGTTTTCATAGTCGCATTCTCAGTGCGACACCAGATCGCCTTACACGAAAACTTCTAAATACTTTCACCCCCCCTAATATACACTCATAATGGCGGACTCGAACCCCACGCCGCCCGAGGTAAGCATCCAGCGGTCCCCATTATCATCACGAACCTCAAAACTGACAATGGCATCTCCCAGGCGGCCCCGAAAGCACCCACTGCTACCGCTGCGACAACAACCACAACAACAGCCACCTCCGCCGCAGAAGGCTACAAAGCCGCGAAACCGAATCCAGTCTGGCAAATGATGGGCCTCCGCGGCCCTCCCAAACGCCTACCCTCACGCAACTGGCTCATCTTCCTCTCCCTCACAGGCGCCATCTCCTCCGCCATCATCTACGACAAGCGCGAAAAGAAGCGTGCCACAGCCCGCTGGGCCGCCGCCGTCTCCCCGCTCGCCAGCGAACCTGTTACCGATCCCTCTCAGCTGCCGCGCAAACTCACCGTCATCCTCGCCTCCCCGCCCGGCGACGGCTTGCGCGTCGCGCAGGACCACTTCATCGAGTATGTCAAGCCCATCCTCGCCGCCTCGGGTCTGGATTGGGAATTTGTCCAGGGCCGGCAGCAGGGTGATGTCCGCGCTGCCGTAGCGGAGAAGATTCGGAGGCGCAGGAGCAGGGAGGAGAGGCCCGAGGTCGAGCTGCTCCCCACCGAGGAGAATATTCGCGACGCCATCCGCGCCAAGAACAACACACCCGAGTTCGAGGGTCCCGGAGGAGACATCGTTATCGGGCGTCACGCGTGGAAGGAGTACATTCGCGGCCTACACGAGGGCTGGCTCGGTCCCCTTGACCCGCCTCCCAAGCCCGAGGTAATTTCTACCCCTGAGCAGCCCGCAGCATCAGAAGCGACCTCAGATTCTACAGCAACAGAAGCAGAGGGCGGTGCCGTGGAAGCAGAAAAGAAGGAGGAAGAAAAGCCCAAGGAAGAAGAAAAGAAATCAGACCGCCCTCGCCAACCCGTTCCCTACAACACCACGGCAGACTACTCAGCCTCCCACCTCCCTCCCACTCTCCCCGCCGAATTCTCCCCCTCGGAACCGGTGCAATTCCCCCACCTCCTCGGCTTCGCCGGCACCTTCACCCGCATGGGCCGCTTCTTCAACCGCCGCCAGCTCGCAGACGACGTGGGCCGCCAAGTCGCAGCCGCCTGCTTCGCCCACGCCCGCGAATACCGCGACGCCGAACCCGAGACCGCCGCAGATGACTCCTCCGCCCCCACGCCGTACGAACAGCAGCGTGCCCTGGTGCATGAGGAACGCGATTGGGTCAAGTCCGTCTGGAAGCCCGTCGACGAGGCGACGGCCGACGAGGAGGAGAAGACCAAGGAGCGCATCTGGGCTTCGCCCATGGTCATTGATCCGCGTATCGCGCAGCGTATGCGGCGGTTTGAGATCCGGGCTGAGGATGAGGAGCGCGCAAAGGGGATCGTCATCCCCGAGACGCAGATTGAGGGCTGGATCAAGGGCACGCTGCGGTCGTTGGGCACGTGGGGGTGGAGTGTCGTCAAGGGGGAGGAGCGTAAGGGGCCCAATGTCGGAAACATTGACGACGAGTAAAGGACTCCCTCTCTGCCTCATTTCGTTTGGTTCTACATAACGAAGGAGAAGAGAAAGGAGACGATGTATAACTATCATGGCCACCACCCCACACAGCTCTAGAGAAAGCGACTGGGTAGTGGAGGGTTCACAGCATATTGTAATTCTAGCTTGATGTTTTTCATTCTGTTGCTTTTTCATGTATCTTCTTCCGTTTCGCTGCATGGACTGGAGCGCGGGAGGTTATCATAGACTATGGGTTCATTGGCCAAAATAATGCCATAAAGCCCTCCGCTTGTTACGAGTATTACTATACACTCCTCTTTCTTCCACCAAGTTCTTTTCCCCGGTATCGTCTTTCCACGTTACATCGTGAGACTGTGGGTTCTTGCGGATAAGTTGGGTACTTGCTCGAGCTGGAGAACACGTCAAGCATGAAGCAGGTATCAATATCTACAGATGAAGCAGCACCTCCATAATGATAGCACCCCGTCAAGTGCTCTGGCATAGAATCAACATGTCCCAGGATCCATCGGCCCATCTCCTCTCACTCTTCGTCCGAATCAGACCCGTACGCAACAAGACTCGGCTTCCCCTTCACCGGCGCAGGGGCAGCTGCAGTCGTAATCGCAGCCGTAGTCGCAGCTCCAGTCGAACTCCCCGTCACGGCTCCCTTCTCAGCATCAGCCGCATCCTCCATCTTCTTCTCATCCACCTTGTCCTCGCCCCCCTTCTCCCTCTTCACCCCAAACCCTCTCTCCCTCTCCTTCCTCCTCCTCTTCCTAGGCCCAACAGCCCACTCATCACCACCCTCCCCCTCACCACCCATCTCCTCCCCCTTCTCACCCTCCTCCTCCCCATCACCAGCCCTCTTCGCCCCCGTACCACCCCCCTGCGCCCTCCGAAAAGCAACAAGCCCCTCCTCCGTCTCCCTCCTAACCCTCTCCTCCTCAGCCTTCTTAGCCTCCCTAACCTCGTCCAAAAAATCAATCTCATCATCATCCAGCGCGCGAAACTGGTTCCGGATCTTATTCGCCTCCTCAAACGCAGCCTGCTTCGCGGCTTTGTTCGCCTGCAGGACGTCGTAAAGACTCTTCTCCCCGCCCTCGACGGACTTGACGCGCGCCTCCTCCCTACGCCTGCGTTCCGCGTCGAGTTCTTTCTGTACGAGGTCCCATTCGGCGCTCTTTTTGGATTCGGGGGCGGATTTGGGCGCTGAGCCGGCAGCGCTCGCACCGGCATTTGTTGCGGGCGTTGCGGTTGTGTCTTGGGGTACGGCCTCGCCTGTTTCGGCGTTGATGGCCCCCGCCGATACGAATCTCGACATCGTGTCTCGTGAGTTTTTTCCCCCCTCTTCCTCTCTTTCTCTTCTTCCTCAAAAGTTGATTCTTCACCAGGTTCGATATTCGAAACCTTCTTCTAGGGCAGAATAGCAGAGAAAGGCTTCCGCGTCTGCAACAGAATGGAGAACGGAGGAATAACGGCCCAGGTTGATATGCTCCTTGAATCGATGTAAAGCAGCCTCTTTTTTTTCTCCCTCGTCTTGAACCCCTTTGAGAGCTACTTGTCTTCCTGAGCTTTTTGGATCTTGCTGTTGTTGGTCGGTTTGTCTGGGGTAGAGGCTAGGGTACAGCCGAGCACTCGTGTAGGCCGTCTTATGCTCAGTGAGGTAGGTGTTCGTAAGATACTCAGATTGGGAGCCTGGCGTCAGGCAAAATGATGCAAAGGTTCCAGTAAAAGAACGGTCCTCAAATTTTGGGTTATCACAAATTCTCTCTCTGATAGAGGAAAGATGTCCTTGAAGAAGACGTCTGTGGGCGAGTGAGTGCCTCAAGTGAGTGAGAGGATGAGGCCGAGGTCGAAGTTGAGAAGTTGGAGGAAAGTTGGCAAATGAGCGAATCAGGGAGCAGAAAATCACTGTACTCGTTGGAGTGGGGCAGCAATCCAATCAAAAGTAGGCTGGGCCACTTGGGTCATCAAGCACCACTCCAAGTCATCACCAAATTCCTCCTCCCAAGACCTAATCTTCTTCTCATAGCACTTCAGATTCACGCCGCCGTCAAGTAATCTTTCATGTCACAATCGAAACGTCTGAGACGAATGTGTTTGCTTCATCATGTTTTGTTATTTTGTTTAGTTGTCTAGGACTGTAGTGTCTTCACTAATTAGGCCATGTCATTGTCGTCGCCCGTGGGTATGCCGTTGTGTGCTCCATCCGTTGTTTTCCTTTCCAATCTCGTCCTTTCGGCGAAAACTTTTTTCAATCCTACTAATGATGTAAACCACATCATAGCGTACCCGATACCCATGACGACGTGCCTACTTAACCAGCGGCCACTGGGCGACATACAAATCTAGCACCAGTCCCGACGGCTGCCTGGTTCGTTGGGTTCATATCCGTAAAACCACCACTCCCATCACCATCCACATGTCGAAGAGCAGATAACCTGCCTTCCCATAAACTGAATGTATCCAACCCCGATCCCAAACACTCTAGTGGATGCCGGTACAAGTTGGCATGAAGAGAAAAAAAAAATAAAAAAACGTCTAACAATGTCATGAACAGTAAAAAGGCGTAGAAACAGCAGTGGCCCTCTGACATTGTGCCTTCCGGGCAATGAGACGAGCCAGTGTGCCGAATGAACAAGAAATGCCAAACAAAGTAAAAAGTAAAAGAGACTCCGTACCCACGTCCTGAAGGCTTTGCCTCCCATTTTTGATCAGTGAACATGAATGCAAAACACCTCCCCATGTTAAGTCTCCCCTTTTTTTTTCGTTCTCGCAAGTAGAAAATCGTATGCCCGCGCCAAGCCAGCCAGTAAAGTGAAATGTGATCCTATGTACCCTTTACTTAATGCACTTCGTCCTTTCTTTTTGGGGGGGGCAGCGCCGACAAGGCAGGCGCCAATGACCGCGAGGTCTTGTCGAATTGAGAGCTGGAGTTTCCGCCTTTCGCAGACGGAATGCAAGCCGGGATAGGGAGCCGAGTTGTTGCCGAACAGGTTGAATTACAGGAAAACAAGTTTGTCTCTTTGGCGTGCCACAAAGGAAATGGATGTCGCTGGTGGTAGGTAATCGTCGGGGGGACTCGGGAATCGAAACTCGTAGAGTTGCTGTCGCGGGTAATGACCGATCGGAACCATGAGTCGATGTACGAAGATTGGGTAGTGAGGGGAATGCCAAGAGACTACCACCACCATCACACCAAACAAAAAATACAGCCAAAGGATTTATGGAAATGAAAACTCCGTGGGGATCGCGAATGGCGACCATGGGACGCCAGTGATGAATTTATCCGTATACCAGGGGAGAAAGAATTAAAGAAATATGTCATTAGGGGTCGCAGCCGCGCGTCGTGACCATCCACCTCCAAACGCATTGTGGCTGCGAGACAATCTAGTAGCCAAGTCAATCGCGTGTGGCAGCGATGGTATCGAGTGAGGGCAAACGTGCCCGTGTCGTGAAGTCGAATGCCGACGTGTAGACCATTCGGTCAAATAACCGCTTCTTTCGGTTCTCGTCGTGAGAGGGTATCTGAAGAATGCAAATGTATCGTTCATGCCAGAAAAAAAACAAAGTCCGCGTCTCCGGTGACGCTAGACCTCCCAAACTTTTCCGATAGCAAAAATCTCTTCCAGTTTCGTAAGGCGATTGAGTGAATCTGCCAGATATCGCCACAACTTTAGCCCATTACAGGCTGGCCAAAGCTAGGGTGGGCAAAGTACGATGATGCCTTGGTAGGACCAACGCAGTTCGCACAGCTACACTCCGCAACACCGTGCTCCCACATGGTTTGCTGGTAACCATAGTGTCCAGGGAAGTTTTGTTGGTTGTGGCGGTGACCATAGTAGTTGTGCGAGGGCTGCTGATAGCGGGTGTTCCACTGGCCAGTGGTAGCGGCCTGGGAGAACCAATCGTTGTAGCGAGCGTTGGTAGAGGTGGCTGAATTAATGTACTCGGGCGTGCCATAGCCAGAATCGGGAGGAGTGAGCGGGGCATTCTGCCAATTCCAGTTGCCGCCGTAGGCTTGCTGATGAGCCAACTCGTTGCGCTTGATAGCCTCGTAGCGCTCGTATTCAGCCGCCTGCTGCTGAACAAACGTATGATAGGAGGATCGTCCACCGTATCTGTTGTTGATGTTGGTGTCGATGGCGGGGACGAGTCTCTCGCGGGTGACTCTTGCCGCAGCCTGGTCCTTTAGGATCTTCCATTCATCCCAGCTGGTGAGCCAAGCCTTGTAGTCCGCGCTGTAATCCAGGTTGACGTAGAGACGCCAGCCGGATTGCTCGAGCCACTCGTGTTCCAGAGCGTTGAGCTCAGCGACGGGGATGCCGCTCACCTCAGACCAAGAACGGTTCTGGAAGGTGTTGTCGTCCAAAAACTTGCTTCCAAGCAGGAGGGAAACGGTCAGCATGCGCCAAACCTGTCCCTCGGGTACAGTGTACGAGGGGTTGTTCTGCTTGAGGGTGTTGACCCGCTTCGCCAGGTAGTTCATGCCGAGGAGAATGGTGCTCTTGGGCAATCTCGTCGATGAGAGGATCTGCGAGACGAACTTGCGGAACGGGGGCGTGACGGCCGTGGTCGACAGCGGCATAACAACGCGGGTGGCCATCTCGGCAACGAACTCGGCCATTTGGTCGACCTCATAGTCGAGGACGGCACAGACACCTCCGGGCATGATGGCGGTATTGAGTGGCGTCCGACGAAGATCGAATGTAGATCTTTGTCGGGTTGAGGATACTGCTCGATGTACTCGGAAGAGACACTTAGCAGTGGGAGAAATGCCGCGTCGAGCTAGCGATGGTTGTCCAAGGCCGATGGAAGTCGGTGTGTCGGTTGGGTGAGAGGGTTGGTGACACGAGCCCTTAGTAGCTGCGAATAGCCATCAAGGGTTGAAATCGCGACGAGGGGAGGAGCAACAAGACGTCTAGAGATCGGATCGATGAAAAAGGTGCAGCAGTCGTGTCGCTAATTGAGGACGGCTGAAAGACCCAGCGAAAGATATGTATCTTGGGCGGAGGAAGAGATGCAGTGATGGCTGACTCGGGAAAAGGATGCTTGAACGGAGAAAGGTCGTCGAGGGCGTCAGAGGAGTTCTAAGGGCCGCAATAGAAGGGACGAAGAAAGTTGTGCAAATGAAATGGAAAGCCGCAGCTCTGTCCTGTTTGGTGAATGGTCAGCGAGAATATCCAGGAAATCAAAAAACTTTGACTGTCTGTGCCTTGAGTCTGATACACAAGCTTCGTCGAACGATGCGTCAAGTAGTGGCGGGCCGGTATTGGAGTGAGGAAATGCTGGGAGGCGACGTAGGCGACAGCGGCAGGGAAGGGGGTCCCCTGTGGTCAACCAATGCAGTGGCCATTGTGTAGCTCCAGCGCACCAGCATGGAGGAAACATTTGCTGCTGCTTGAATGTGGCCGTTTGGGACTGCAGTGCTTAAAACCAAGGGCTGGTCATTGACTGAGGCCGGTTCGATCGTAGCACATGGGTGGCAGAACGTCTCCAGACCATACCGAAGCATGCCTTCTATCGATACCGCATGTGGAATTCGATCGCATTTCGGGCGTCGAGTAGTTGGATGAAGCTTGTGTACCAGGCTCTCCAGGATGACTCTGGATAGATTGGAGGTTCACACTGTTGGGATTGTAGCTTACCTTGAGGAAGGTGACCGTAAACAGGTGTGCGAATTCGAAAAGGACGGTGTAACTTGGAGGTGTTCCAAGTGTCGAGCAGCAGACGCGATCAAGTCGACTCGATTTGTTACGTTCTTGCTCAGTGTCGTGCACCTAAAACGTAGTCGGGCCTGTATGGGGGGCAGGCGGGCGGTTGTTGTAGAGAGGCGACAATCGAATTCGACAATATCGTGCAGTAGAGGAGATGAGAGATGAGAACCTGAATCCTGGGTTGTCGACGACTTTGGATGGAAATATCGTGCAGAGTCGAGGACAGGGGATTTCGTCGTGATACGGCGGATTCGGAGGTTTGAAAAGAGAAGAAGGTTTCGGGGAGGGGAGAGAAGGAGGAATAAAGTCGGACAAGAAGAATCTCGAGGAGTGAGAATGGATGGGACGGGTTGGGATGGATGGGATGGAGATGGGGAGAGAGAGAGAAATGGGGACGGGGGTGAGGATGTAAAGTGGAGAGAGGAATGATGGCGGCGTGCGTGTGAATGGAGGCGAGAGAGGGCGAAGTTGAGTGAGAGAAGGGTGGAAGGGGTGGTGGAAGGGGCGGTAGCAGCCCAGTAGTCGGGTGGTGTACGGAGTGCGGATAGGTACCTGAGGACCCAGGACTCAGGTAGCCCAGACGAGCCCGGTACCTGGCCGTGGTACCTTGTTCATTGGGATGAGGCCAGTACCTATGCGGCAAAAAGCCGGTGACGGGTACTTTGAGGGACTAGGTAGGAGGACCAAGAAAACGGGGTGACAGTGACGGAGTGGACAGCCCGGCAGCAAAGTGGGCACCCATCGGTTCCATACTCTGTGCGGTGCACCTGGGCTGTCAGTGTAAGGGTACCTCCAGCAAAGTACCTCAATACTTTCCTACCACCCTGGAGGAACCTGGCCAGAAGAAACAGGAGCGGACCTGGAGGGAATTGAAAAAAAAAACTCACACACTGCAGCAAGCACCACCCACCTTTTCTGGACACTAGGGGAATTGAGGAATAGAACATCGTGTCGATTGACGGTTCAGCAATATGAAGTATCTTTCGCTGACATTACGTAGTAAGGTATTATGTATTCTTTCCACACCAGAGGTCCCACGGCAGCTTGTACAGTTTGAATGTACACCTCAGAGAGACAAGACGAGACGAGACGAGAAGGGGATTACAAGTGTTCAGCTGGCAGCACAGGGTAGGTACTTGGGGCAAGAGTACAGAGTAGAACAGGGCATTTGTAGGTACTCTGACACGGGCACCTTAACACAGGAATGACGGGTTGTGAGCAGCAGTGTTCGGATAGTGTATGTAGGTAGGTATGTACTCCGTACTCCGTAGGTCTCGCTGATCGTGGGATGGGCATTGCCGTGTCTGGATGGCTCTATGTACTCCTCGCCGTGTCGACTGGTACAAGTAGACAAAAGAGCAATTTGGGACACATTGGCAACGGGGATGAGAAGGGGACGGCAAGAGTGGTGCTACAAGAGTATGGTTGGCAACTGCCCATGGCCACCCCCCGCTCACTTCGGTGGTGAGAGCCAGACACGGAATTACATAGTAGACTGGAATTACAAACTCGAGCAGTATGGAAAAAATGCGTTACAACAAAAATTAAAATAAAAAACATGATGGATGATCAAATGAGAAAAGGAAGAAAAAAAAACATGGGCGGGCCTTGGATTGGATCGAACGTGGAGACGACAGGGTGACTGGCTCCGACGGGACCACGACGCTAAAAGAAGGTACGGAGGTACTTCGTCATCGGGACAAGCGAGGGATCGATACGTATCTCCCGACCCCCGTTTTAGGACAGAAAAGGGCGGCACCGGATGATTGAGGACGAGTGTGGGTTTCAATCTTCAGATTGGACGTCAAAGTTGACAGAGGGAAGGGGGCACTCTTGCCCCCGGCTCCACTCTCACCTTCCATGAGTCCACGACACGACACCGCTCCTGCTGCGAAGCAACCGGGGGGGCCACGCTGGAGGGGGAAGGAACTGGGCATCGACCAGTCATTAGCCGTTGTTTGGTGATGGTCCAGGGAAAGTGCTGCTGGGTGGGTGGATCACTGGACCGCCAACCGCCATTGTACACCTCACGCCGGACGGGCACTCACTTTCCATTTTGATGCATGGATTTATTTCACTTGCGCTCACCACTTTGTGAGTACCAATCTGTGTGTTGAACTTGGGTCAAGGTGGTGGTGGTGTTGGGTGAGTGAACTCTGCTGTCTGAGGCAGCAACATAATTGGCCTAGCTCTAGCATTGGATTCCCGATGCTGCACATCTGTCTCTGCCTTTCATTAACCCTCTCATTCATGGAGGGACGGCAGTCAGTCGGGTTGAAATGCCTGAGGGCAGCCAAAAACATGACTGGGACAGCAACATGTTGCAGGTGTATCCGTGCCTTGGGTGCAGGTGCAGGTGCAAGGGCCACTTGCCAGTTGTGACAGGGAGTTATCTATGGCTTTACAATAAAGAGGCAGGCAGGCGCGGGAGAGAGCAGGACTGCAGGAGACGTAGGCGGCAAAAAAGGGCAGGAAGGAAGGAGAGACCACGCTCGAGACAGTCGAGACAGTCGAGGCAGCGCAGGAAGCAGCAGCCCGAAGGCAGGAAGGAAGAGTAGCCACTGGCCAGGACTCAGGAGGGCGGTACGGAAGACAGGAGGCAGGGGGTGGGCCACACCTGCAGCATCGCACCTGCCCTGCACCTGCCTGCACCTCACTCCTGGCACTCACACACTGCAGGAGCGCTGGCCGGTGTCTCGCCCTCCTGCCTCTGCTCCCACGCTCCTTCCTGCTCCTGGGCTGGTTGGCTCCTGGTCTGTTGTTATTATGGCTTGTTGCTGGATGGCTGGCTGCCGCCCTCCTTCGAACCTGACCTTCCTGGCCAGTCCTGCTTGACCACTTCCTCCAATCAAATCGGGCTTGATGGAGTCCAAGGGGGTGCACGTCTCAATGGCCCGAAGTTGGTGGTGTCTCTGTAGTAAAGCTCACGCTAAAACACAACCACGACACAGAGCAGCCAAAAGTTCGAGCCTCTCGTCATGGAAATGGAAGAACATGGACAATTCGGTGGTGTACCAGAGAGACTGGCACGGCGCGAGAGAGGTGAGACCGCTCTTGACAAGAGACGCTACGCTGTATCTGTGTCGTTGACTGCCTTTCTTGCAAACCATCAGTGAAATGACAGGACAAACTTCGAGTACCTACTCTTCCTGTCACATCGTGGCATCAGTTAAGACGCGGAGACTGCAGCAAAGTCGATGGCATGGCATGCACGTGAGAGGACCAACGGCAATGAGAAAAAGCAAAGCTGACTGTCAGATAGGCTTCATCCACAAGGAAACAATGACAGCTCACAATACCTACCATCAATGGCAGCTTCGATCTGATTTCCATAGTCACCCGTCGTCCGGCACACGAGCACAAGTGACGACCAACAACAATCATTCAATAGTCTGCCGTATCTGCTGTATCTGGTCTACCTGGCGACGAACCAAACTGCCCTGGCGACGACGTCGTCTACATAGTACGCATAACACAGTAGTCGAACGCACACCAAGGCATCCGCACCATCTTGAATCTTTCCGAGTCTCCCTTACCATATCCATGCGGATCGAGTAACCAGCATACCTCTCACACCCCCGGGTGCACCATGGAAACAAAAGCCAAACAGGTCATTCGGCGCGCAAGGAATAAAAAAAAAGTCGTTAATGGCGGTTCGGCTCTAGCGTTCCTTGAGAATGGGATGCCCCAGTCTCGCAAGGCTTCTAGATGTACTACAGAGTATTGGGCTAGCCTTGTGCAATTTATGCCAGTCGCCTGTACCTTGCATATGGGTCAAGGAGGCTGGGATGTCGCGACTATAGCAGGTACTCGTATCAACAAGATGCACCGAGGCAACCTGTGAGGTACCTTTTCCCCCCCTCCACCAGCACCGACAAGCATCATCTCTTTGGCTTGACCGCTGACCGCCTTGGTCGCAGCTCTCGGCACCTCTGAGATTCTCTGGGTCTAACCAGTGACGATTCCCGCGACCCCGTTTGGCGGCTGCATCGCCCTGGTCCTCATCTTCCACATTCACACTTCATCCCTGAGAGCGTCCTGGGCAGCCCAGCCTAGGCCACAGACCTGACAGAGGACTGGTCCTTTCGATAGCAATTACCTAGCAACAAGCCTCCATACTCAACGAGTTTGGTTTCGCAGTCATCCACAGCCCACACGCAACACTCGCACCAGGGGCAAGGGCAGGGCAATTAACCAAGCACCAGTGTGACACTGGGCACTCTCTGCTCTCTGCGTCTCTGCCGTGGGCTCTCCGTGACTCCGTCTCTTGCTTCTGGGCAATGGCCTTTTCTTAATTCGGGGTTCGGCGAATGGGAGTTCAGGGCCCATCACACTTGGCCTGCATTTCCGACTGCAATGGGCAAGGGACAGTCTGAGTCGGTGGACTGTGCCCATCATCCGATCTGCTGGGTGATCTCTGTGGCCTGGTCGCCGCCCGAGGGTCCCAAAGACGGGCAGCACGCAGTTTGTCCTTCTCAGAGTGCGAGTCTGAGCTTGCACCTGTCTTCCCCAGCCAAAATCATCCCTCAGTCCGGTAGCCCGGACTCCCAGGTTTGCTGGGCAGGCTATGACGACGGCAGAGCACCCACTCACGAATCACCGTCACCATACCGACCACTAACGCATTGAACGGCCAGCGCCTGGCGGATATTGGCCGTGATGAGGCGTTAAGAGGTCTCGCTCCTTGTGCCTCGCATTTGCCTCACCTTCGGCCCATTGCTACGGTTTTCTTTGCCAGGCCCGCCTAGGATGAGATGGATCATGGATGGGATCGGCGCTGATCTCGACATGTTGGAAACACCACCGGTGAGCGAGGCAAGGGCTGCTATTCGTATGTGTTCGACTATTCGTACAACCATCTTCATCTCTGCGGCTTGCCTCGGGAGCATCGCCTCCGACACCACCTGTCTTGACCAGAGTACGCAGGGTATTCCCGTCGCAGGGTCAGGTCCGTATTGCCTTAGCTAAGCCGCACATCGCGTTGAGAGGGTGCGACATCCAGTACGACGCGCAGTCAACTATTCGTATATCCAGTTCGCTTCATCGAGACGAGGCTACCTCGTGATTTCATGTGTGCGTATCTCAGTCTCAGTTGCCTCCGTGCCTCTGTCCCGCTACCTAATCAACATTTTCTAGCAAACGTGGCAGTCAATTCCCAAACCTCTTCGGGCCACGCGGGCGAAACCCTGTCACGAAGTACAGAGGTTCGTAGCAAAACACAAAATGGATTTCCAATTTCACCGCACCAAGATTCATTCCTGCAGCTCATCAGTGACCACCAGTGCCACCGTCCATTCGTCGAAGACAGCGGTGGCTTGCCGGGAGCCCAGCACCTAACCAAACGCGGCATTTTCACATTTGGCATTATCGTCTCTACCCGCAGCAAGGCCCAGCAAAAACAAAGCTTTACGGATACGTACTGCAAATGTGAGTATATTGCATTTTCATCTTCTGCCGGCTTGGAAGTTGGATGAGATTGCAGCGGAGGAAGAGAAATACCGCACGCTCCACTCTCCGAGGCACCGTCCTAGATACAGTGCCCAGACGCCTCTCTCAATTCAGTTCTGTCATCTACAGACTAGCAGCACCCCCGAGGGTAATTGAGAGCGGAAGGGCTCCACCGGCCAAACGTGACTGGCACACAGGAAACAATTTCACACTCTCTGAAGTCTGGACGGCAACCGGTAGCTGTGTGTCCGGATGATGATCCTCCTACGCGCCTCACACACAAACCAAACATTATCAGGCGCGTTGCTTTCACCAGTCTTGTCGCCTCGGGTCGCGGCTCACCTCCGGCAGGGCAGTTGTGTTTCCTCCTCGACTCCTGCCACTGCAATTCAAACATTTTGCTCTTCAGCCTGAGGGTATTCATACAGGTTTTGAATACGGTTACAAAATGCTGGTGGTCTAGGAAATTCCACCTAAGCCAGGCGCATTGCAATCTGGAGAAAGAAGCCATTATGCAGACACCGTACTGGACTTTCGCTTTCACGGTTAGCGAGTAGCTGCGACGCGCTCGGTGCTCTCGTGGCCCGTTAAGAGTTCTCAAACCATGTTTGGCCCTCGCCACTCAGTTTATTCAGGGGTCAAAAGGCTGGATCATCCGTGCCATCGCAGTACGGATACTAATTACCAGGAATCAAGAATTGATAATCCACTCAGGTGAGATCCGGGCACGCATCCAGGGCCATCGCTGCCGTGCAGCCAACAAACCATCCAGCTTCCCAAGTTCATGGTCTTCAGCAACGACGACCTCGAATCACGTGCCTTGGATACCAAGCCTAGGAGGATGGTTAACAGCGTCGCATCTCCAGCAAGTCAACGCACGCCGTGGTCACAAGTGAGACTTGTCTTCTCAGGTGCATGAACCAGCATTGCTACTTCGCACGCAACACGATACGGTTGACAGAAGCAAGATATTATCATCCACAACCTGGCGAGGCATCGAGGCATCGACTTGGAAATGAGAAAGCCTCCCCAGCCCTGCGCTTGGTTGCCGCTGGAGACAATGCCCATTCCCCGGATATGAGCAGGCTGCATGGCTTGGAGAATTCAAATGTCGACCCTGTGATTGGGCAACCTCACAAACTCTTGGGCGGTCTGCATGGCCATCCATGCGCTACAACGTCCACGAATTTCCAGCCCTGCGTTCAAACGGCGCTCACCGTTGTATCAACGGGAAAAGAGGAAGAAACCCTTTCGAGACCTTGGAGTATCGTTGTGCCTTCGTCCAAAGTACACTGTCAGCATGTCGTGGCAGTACGGACAGAGAGCTTGCTTTAAGGCCATTGCCATAGGTTGACGTGAGCTACCCTTAACTAGGAGTTCTCGTGTTCCCAACACCGGTGGCAACCTTCATTGTGCTTTGAAATGGCTCGATACCCGCAAATACAGTATACAAAGAAGAAGAACTTGGAAGTTGGAAGGGATTCGCATTGTTGCATTTCATCGCGAGTCAGGGTGAAGCTGACCCGCTGCTCGAGAAGCAAAATGTTGGCTCAGTCTTTTGAGACTCGGTGTAGGGAGTACGACCGCTCAGACGTTCGACCTATCAGACGCCTTCATTATCACCAGCTCAAGACCGACCGGTAGACCCGGCTCTACACAGCTGCACGCCCCGGGGTGCAGCTGGCCAAAGACACAGTGCATCTTCTTTCTATCATGGATCTTTCGGCCTAGCGGTGCCCCCTTGAACGAGGTGTCTAGGGCGGTGCCTCGTGTTAACCACCCCGTGGACCGCCGCAAGTTCCCTGGCAGGCTGGCAAAGAATCTCCAGACTCCATCAACATGCAGGACGTGATACAACGAGAAATTCTCAGGCTCAGCCACCTGACGGGAACACTTTCACGAGGGAAGGCGCTGGCGATCTGAAGTGCCCTTCTAAGTCTACGGTATACAGCACCTAAGGTGTTCGACGCATTCAGCTGAGTCCGGTCCGCTGTGCAAGGCATTTTACGGAGAAAATTCGCGGTCCTGCCGTCGAACACAACAGGCCGAGGAAATACATAGCAAGCGCGCCAGGTCTGCCATTGCCAGGCCCAAGCTGGTTCTCCTGGTTTGGCACGCGGCTGGCCGTCACTGACATACTGCGGACGGATAGTGACACCCAATTAAGGCTCCCCTTGCACCGCCGCCTATTCTATGAATATCTCGGCCTTTCAACCACGCCGACAACTGACCACGACGCTATGAGATGCTAGGGGTTTTGCTTTGGACCCTGAAAACCAAGTCTCAACACGGAATGACAGCCGGTCTCCCTTGGTCTCTTCCAAGGAAGGGTTCAGACTCCACGCCGAACTCTACGGGCAATCGTGTTGACAACTCATCCGCTATGAATGATCATCTGGTGGGAAGACAATGCACTACGGAGTCAGAGTGGTGTATCAGGAAACCAGTCGCCCAGTCTCGGGCGAGTAGTCGTCACCTATTTGGTGTCACTAGGTTCCAGGCCCGAAGATCGGGTGGGATTTCATCACACCAATACCAACAAACTGCACCGAATTTTATCGATGGCCCACAGACGCAGAGAAGACGCAAAGGCTAAAGTGGTCTTTCTCCAAACTTGTCGTGCCTGTCGTGCCTGTCCAAGGGTCCAACTCCACCATCCGCCTCTAGCGGGTGGCAGGGCACGAGGGCCCCATCATGTGGATGCTCAACCTGGGCCAGCCGAAAAGCTATCGATTCGACCTTTTTTTCTTTTCTGGGACTATTTTTGCGGCCTATCCTAGTTTCTCGATGGATCCCCTCTTTTCTGAGAGGGCACAAGCCAGCCTCTACAGGATTACCTGCAGAATGGGGCTTTTGGGCATCTTCACCGCAACTAGGTTCGAGGGGAACCCGGGCTGGACATGGCGAGAGCTCCAGAATCCAACCCGATCAGATGCCCCTCGCGGTCAGGACCCGTTGCGATACCACGTACTCTGCATCCGTACAGACGACGAAGACTCCTGGTCTCTTTCTGTACGTCTTCCTTTCCAATATCGTTCATTGCATACCAAGGACAAGGCAACCGCAGTTGCCGATGGCACCCTGACGCGGAGATGGCCATAGGAAGGCCCCCACACGATGCTCAACAGAGTGATAGGCGACAGCATCAAAGTCTCTAGATCGATTGTTAGGATTTGGCCAGCTTGAATCAGGGACACCGATCCGGGACGTTGACGATGTCAAAACTTGTCCAAACTTTCCGCTAGTCTTTGCTAAGAAAGAAAAAAATGCACGTCGACGAGAATTTTTCAGGGTACAACGTCAGGCTCCAGGCCGTTGTAACAATTCTCGGACTCTGTGGGCTGATCACGGTTCAACTCGTCATGGTTCGCGAGCGATCTTCTCACGTTTATCCGCTTCTCGACCAGATCTGCCCATAGGACGCCGAAGAAGGGCCTGTCGTCCGCTGCGGCTTTGGCGACAGCCAATGACGAGGTCTGCCGGACGCAACGTCTGCTCTGTCATGAAGTCTCCGATGCCTGCCATCGCCCGCGTTCTCGCCCTCTTCAGGGCTCCTGAGTACCTACCAAGTCCCAGAGCTTAGAGGTCTGAAATGTACCGTTTCCCAAGTTTGTCCCAGCATATCGTCAGTTTGCTCTCATATTGGTTTAGCACCAACACTCGCGTGCCTCCTCCCAGCCGCCCAGCCCAGCAAAGTCACCAAAGGCGGGACTGGCGTGACTGTATGATTCGACCGTCTGGCTAGGTACCAAGGCAGCGGCATGTCTGCATACGAGGCACGGCTACCTGACACCCGACGGTTCCGCGTTGCCAGACGTATCTATCCTCGGGACCTTTCATGAATGCTCCCTATTAGCCAGAGGCCATTTACTAATGTCACCATGTCTTACCTACCAGCTCCAGGCGGTGTGGGGATGTCGTAGTGTGTTCCTGGATGTTCGCGGCTGTCGACATTTGGAAGGCGCCTCATGGAAGTTGAGGTTGCTTTGCTGACAGCATCGTCGTGCCCGCAGTCGGATCTCATAACTAGATTACCAGACTCTTGAACTCGTCTCGCCGTGCACATCAGCGGGAGTGCAGACGTACTGACGCAGCGGTATGTGATGCGATCATTGCCCAACCAGCCACCTGCGTACGGATACTGGCCGTGGCAAGAAACGGTCTTTGGACTGCGCCAGTGCCGAGGGCAACACAAGTTTGAGCATCGTGACCCAGCTGCCTAGGTGAAGAGTCGCATAGCAAAGAAACCGCTCAACCTGACAGGTAGTCGAATGACTTGGAACCTTTCTCTTCGCAAACCCCGCAAACCACCTGGAACTACTCCGTACGGGACTTTGGGGGGGCCATCTAAGTCTTCAAAGTTCGACGCCCCCTTGGACTACCAACCTCTGCCCCTGCCACAGAGCATCACAGCTCTTGGCGTTGAGAGACAGGGCCTACTGCTTAGAAATGCCTTATTAGCGACGATTGGCGACCGTTGACTGGCCGGGTATCTGGAAACCGGTGGAGCGGACGGCGTGCACCGCTGTCCCAGTGGGGATATTCGAGAAGAAAATGCCGCGATTCTGCGTGTCTGTGAAGCCGCCAGTGTTGCAGCCCACTGCACTGAGCCCAGGTCACAACTAGCTATGACCAATCTGCAAGCGATCCCACGATGGACGAACGCCGCGACGGCGCTTGGGACTGAGGATCCAAACAAATGGACTCGAGTCGAAGGGGGGAGTCGAAAGCATGTCATGGACGGGTCCCGGGAGGAGCTATCGGCCCCAAGCCGCCCGCCTCTGCTCCGCACGACCACTCTCAATCGGGACCAGCAGGCGTTCGGCGGAGACGCATCACCATTCACCACCCATCCATCACACTCATCGATGTGTTGGTGCAACCCTCTTGACGTAGTGTTAGTCGCCACGCTCACAGCCCAGCCCGTGACCGATGACCCTACCTATCCGCCGTCAAAGGGACCCCCGAATCGGCTCATCGTCCATCCCCCGAGTTACACCCCACACACACAAAAACACACGCATACGGATACACTATTAGTGAGAGGAGGAGGAGTGGCAGGGAGGCGCAACGACTAAGAAGTGCAGGCAAGGGAGCCACGGAGGGTCAGCCAAGGCTTCCAGAGTGAATCGACAACGTGCTAGAAGATGCACGTTTTGGTCTTGTTTAACGCCCGCCGTCATCTACGGTACGTGGACGGCCTGGCTGCGTGACCCCCAACTTCCGACGCTCGTTGCTGAAGCTGGACCTGCTAATATGGTTCACACCCACAACCTTCCCATGGTGACAAGGAACCTTTTTGACAAAGGCTCTTCCAGCCTGTCGCCCTACCTATGTCATGCCGGCCGTCGGAGGAAGGTTCATCAGCCGAATACAGCCCCCGCCGCCGATGACTGAGTACCTAGCAGACTCGGTCTCAAGCCTCGTCTCGGAGGTATTGGCCACCAGACCCAGGGAAGACGCGCTTGCTAGAGTGCTTGCAGTAGTAGTGCCTTGCCCTTGAGCGGAAGAAAGCGGTAGTGATGGACGGAGAAGAGTCGCGCGGTCCCTGACCTATTCCTGGCTTTCTGTCTTGGAAGATGTGTTCTGCAGGATGTGATGGGTTAATGTTTGGAATTAGGTGAGTATCTTACCTCCCCTCGGCCACATGCATTGAGACGGCAAGCCTTTCTCGCGGACGACTTGGCTAGCATCCGGACAATATCACGCACCCGTTCACCAACGGGGTTGTTATCATGCCTCTGTGCCGCAGGCAGCTCAGCCGTTCCGCTCCGTCTCCAATCCCACAGCCGGCGATCCTGACCTCGCATCTTACACACACACACACCCCGCCCAGACACGCGAACACCCAGTCGTCATCACCGTCGTGTTAATCCGCCCGCCTGCCCATATCACTCAAGCGCTTACTACACATCCCCGTTGAGACGAGACGTGCGCGTTCAAGAGGGCGGTTGTCTGCTGCCTCCAGGCGAACACGCACTGGGCTCGATATCGCATTGTCTACCCCGGACTGGACGGATCTGGGAGTTGTGACTCCCACCAAGCGTATCCGGACGGGCCGCCGTTGACCAGTCGGTGATCTGACGACCTGGCTCCGAGAGTTCGTTGCAGCCACCGTGAACTTGCGCATCAATCATGCCTCAATTTTGTTTGCCTCCAGTCGAAAAGGGAAAGGCAAAGCAAAAGCAGCCCACTAGTCGGTAGATTGTCAGCCACGCTTCGTTTTTGAACACATTGCGCCAGACGCAAAACGGCCATGCGCGTGGCGTCCGTCCGTACCGACAAGGCCGTACCGTATCTCAGCTTCCCTTGGATTCGCGATTCGGCCGGATAGCGGTAGACGGCACATGCAACTTGTCTTCGTTGTGACCTGCTGCTGGTAATAGCGGCCTTTGCGAGCGGTGAGAAAGGGCATGGCGCGACTTAGACATACATGTCTGCCTGCCTACCGTCTTTTTGACGCCAGTACTCTCTCGTCCGGTTCACTCTGTTAGAGCTTACGCTCGTCACGACTTTGCTCTTTACGGACATTTTTTGTCTCGGCAATCGCAGGCAAACACTTCTACTAGGCCAAGCGTGTCTTTCGTCTTTTCCCCAGAGAGAGGGAGACCATCAGTCAACCCAGGCTGCAGCCAACAGTAGCTCCTGGGTTCAATAGCTAGTGACTGCCGAACGACTCACTGCACTAATCCTGTTGCCCTGCCCTTGCCCTGCCCTGGCCCCCTTCTGCGCCGCTTCCTGCAGCGGTGGCCAGCGCCGGGGCATGCGAGCTTCGAAGTTCAAGGCGCGTGATCTTGCTTTGCACACCACGTATAAGCAGTACACACGCAACCCGCACACTCACGCTCACGCACGCTGAACGGACGGAACGGGCTGGAAGCACGTAGACGCAGCGGAAGGGACGGTGAGTATTTTATTTCGGGATGTGCTGAGTCTCGTGCTTTTTCTGGTTGGGTGACTTTTGCTTTAGCGTTGGCTGGGTTGTGGACTTGCTTGGTCGGGACGCCGGCTTGAGCCCAGCGAGCGGCCTGTGGCTGCTGCTTCTGCATCCATGTTGGCTGTTCGCTGGCCATTGGGTGTGGCATGACACCCTCTCTCATTGATCCCACCACCAGTCCGCTACATCCTAAAGCTCCCCCATGCCGGATCGTGCCGTTGGGCTGGGTTGAACGACCGGTCACGTTTCTGCGGTTGGACGAGCCTTGGAGGTGAGGATGGGTGACTAATCCGGGGGGAAGGGTGATGTCGCCAATATCCCACTCATTGCTTGCCTTGACGACGCTAGCTTCTTGGGCTCGGGCTTTGCTCTCGATCATGGCATTTTTGCTGTAGAGTGTCACGGAGGTGCAATAGTATAGAGTGCAGGCCGCCTCCTTGCCCTTGCCTTGCTGTAAAACTGAGCAGAACGTAAAAGCGGATCTACTGCAATGCACCGTCCGGAGATCTGTTATGAGATCTCATTGACGTCCTTGATTCTAGGCGCAATGGCTCGCCCGATGCCAATCTATCGCACTCTATAGCCAAGCGTGTTCAAGTACACGCATAATACTATGAATGCATTCTTATACTTGTATCTTCAAGAGTGGATGATGAATCCCTGCCTTGCTCGGAGTGGTCCGCTAAAAGTGTCCCGCGTAGCCCAGAGACAAACGCTCAACGAGCGGTCGATCTAGAAGAATAGCAACCGTGAGGTGAGCGAAGCAAGTGATGTCATATTCCCAGGGGCAAACGAACCCACAGACGGAGAAGAAGGTACAAGGCTACGATAAGCTTTTTCGAAACCTAGTTTGATGCCACCGACTTACTTGTGTCGCTCGGGTTGGCGGTACCGTGGATGGAGTGTGTCGTCTGGGTGCCCCGTTTTGATGCTGTGGTTCCGCTGTTCTGCATATGCCCTTCCTTCGGATGGGAAATCCAGTGAGCCTGTGGTTGTAGTTATTTTGATTTGTCGGGTTGGTATGTGTGGTTTTGATGTAGCTATGACTCGGGAAGTTTTTGGCATGTCTGTGGTGACGGCCCGAGTCGTCGCCGCTGCCATCACTCCCCTCCTCTTGAAGACGACCCAGAGATGTGAGAGGGCTTTGGGCGAGGGTAGGGTACGGATGTGAGGAGAGTTTGAGGAAGCTATGGGCAAGTCAGCGTCGGGGGGTTTTTATATTCTGATTGTGGTTGGGTGAGTGTGAGAGGGAGGAGAAGGGTTTGGTAGGGGACTTTGAGACGCACGGATGATTGGATATGATGTCTGTGGGTTGGATTGAGTAAGAATGGCAACGGGAAGGGAGAAGTTTGTGATGGGTGTGCATGTGGAAGGTGTTGAAGAGGTGTTTTGAGGTTTCGTGATGTTGTAGTGTTGCGATGTTGTAGTGTTGCGATGTTGTGGTGTGGTGATGTTGCGAGACTGGAAGGTCCAGTCTGTTTTGTTGATTTCGGGAAACCAGTATTAGCAACGATCATTGGTTCGGTTTTGCTTTCGCTTTCGAAGTGTCGTTTGTAAAAGGCGAGAGATTCTAACAGCTGACTATCTACTCCTGCCTTTCTAAACACGGGCCGTCGTAGCGAGTATATATCGAGGCCTTGAGTCAGGAATAGTTCTGTCCGGCAAGCCAGTCAACAGCAGGAATACCCTCGTTGATCAGCCAGGGGGCATTGCGGAGGACCCAGTTCCAAAAGTCCTTCTTGACTGCCACCTTGTTGATGGTGGCCAATCTCGAAACCTGTCGGCCTTTATCTCTTAAGCTAGGAACTATGGGTTCTGTTCAACGGTGCCCGTTCGTGCTTGTTCCGTATTCGTGAGGCTGGCGTGACGAATACGGGGAGGGAGGTGGACGAGCGGTATGGACGTGGTGTGAAGACTATTTCTACGGAATAGGAAGGGTTATAAACGAACGTTCAGGATATGGTGTAAAGATTATCTTTACAATACAGGAAGGGAGGTGAACGGACGTTGAGGACGTGGCGTGAAGGTTGTCT